AGTCAAGATGTGGATTTTAAGTGATGATGACCTTTCTACCACCACAGTTTTCTTCTTCTTGCTTTTATCAACATGTAGTCCACATCTTTTCACAGCACTAGCAACTAAAACATGTCCGTCATGTGGGCTGTGTGTTTGCTTTTCTGGCCAGCTGTGCTGTAAAGGCCGTGTCTCCCTCAGACCTCCTGGAAGGTGGTGGGTGGTTGGTTGGCTTCGGGCCAGCTGTCTATTTTCACTTCTTTTTATGACTCAAGCTGCCTAATGAGAGGATACACGGGCTCTCATAGGTTCTGTCCATATCTATCAACCTCAAGACCTGATGTGAGCTAAACACTGACATACACTGATATTAGTAGCAGCGGTTAACGTTGAGCTACTGGTTGTCATAGTTACTGAAGGCCTGGTCTAGTCTGGCATACCTTAGCTGCACCATGGTTTGGTGAGACGTGATCACAGGCATTTCCGCTGCAGCCTCACAGCGGAGCCACTCTGACCCTTGATATTGTCGACCAGACAATATCAAGTTTACACCTTTTATCCAAGTTGTGAGGTTTGTCTCTTCAGCCTCACTGTTTTCACCACATGGTTGGGGCATTTTCACAACTTCTTGGTTAGCATATCCCTTTTAAATATCGCAGAGACAGAGTAATGAAGAGTCACAGCGAAGTGGTTAGATGAAGACCTGCAGGAGACAGGTGTTTACTGCAAACTTCCAACATATCATCAAGACAAGCAGCACCCTTCAACTTGCTGTCCTGTCATGGAAAAACATTCCCACTGTGCGTGCAGCACTAGGTGTTTTACGACATAGAAAAATGCCATGTGTTTTCAGTGGCACTTTTTGGATAATAGATTGTGTCTGACCTTACAACATGCCAGTGATCATACTGGATGGCGTGTTAGAGCTAAAACTCGCAGCTTTATCTTTTTCCAAATGTTTCTACAGGAACTCACTAGCTTTCAGTACAGATGTGGAACAGCTGCTTTGGAGATGAAATGTGAGTTTAGCAGCATGAAGCGAAGCTGGGGATGGTACAGTGTTGAAACCCCACATTTCACAGGAAGGGTTTTGTCACCCCCCCTTGTCATCTTCATTTTGCTGTTGTCTGGAGGGAGTTTCTCATGCTTTGTCATGGTTTCCTACAGGATTTGATTCTCCATCGCACAATTGTCCCCTTGATGTTTGTTGCTTGTTTGTAGCTTCATTAAATTCCCTTGTATGATACCTCTGCGAGTTTTTGAAGCTTGTAATACTGATCCCTCAATATAAAACACTCATTTACTTTGCACTCTGCTGTTTAACTTTGGCAGGCAGCTGCTGTAGTTATCATGTGAGGTGTGGCTGTACACAACAAATTTCAATACATTTGTCACCAGTTTATCAGAATGTTAGTCATTTTTTCTGATATCAGATCCGGTGTTTGGGGCTTGTATCAGAGTGATACTGATACTTGGATCAGGGCATCACTGGTTACTGTCGTTGATCCATGTGATATTTTTGGACGTTGTCTTTTGACTGGGTCAGACCTGTCATAATCCTCCTCACGCCATCGCAGTAACACTTTAATTGTTGTAGGATTTACTAATGGGTCAAATTTAGGTGTGCGTATCCATGAGGGTGGTCTGCTGTCAAGCGTTGCTGAAAAGCTGCCCCACCCTCCTCAACAGCACCCCATTAATAACACAGATGCACACAAACACACACATGCACAAATCGTGTGGTTGTAGACATGAGGTAACCTGACCCCGGCCAACAGAGTTCCTGTCACAGCTCATTAGCATTGGGATGAAATGAAGGCTGGTTAGAAGTGGTTCTTTGCTTTAGTTGGAGCCTCACCAAGCAGGAAGCCCGTTTGCAGCGACTCAGCAAACCACCCAATCCACCCGACCACTCTACATAGCACCTATATCAAGCCCTTACATCATCCAAACAAAACAAGGCAGAAGTCTAGAAATGACTTAATGATTTACCCTCCTTTTAATATAAGCCAACACAAAATGTCAAAGCCTTTTTTGCACTTATACTGTGTGTTGTATACCGAGACGGCTGTTTTTTTTCTGTCATTTAATGTTACAGTCTACTCAGGTATCAAATTGTCTTTTAATGTATTTGGGGAGGAAAACTGGTTACTAACTCTACTCATCTGGTTAGCAGCCAAACTGAGTCAATAGAGCCCTCCTGACTCCCAATTCCCTGCAGTCAGCACAGCAGCAATCAGCCCGGCCCGCAGCGTCTGCTGAATACTAATGCAATTTCCTTGTTGCTCGTGTGGAAGAGACCCAACGGGCTACAACCTGTGTTCATACCAAATAAATAAAACTTTTACACTTATACTTGTACTCTTATATTGAGATTTCAGTTCATTTTGCTCAGTTCATTGGCACTCCTGTGAAGGAAATCAGTTGAGCTCTATCTATATCTGTTTAGAGAAGCAACAAGGTTTTAGCCATGTGAAGGACAGAGCATTATGTAATGAACACAATGAAATAATCACTTAGCATAGAAGTGTACAAACTGGTTAACCTTTTGTCCTCATGCTCTAGTTCTGTTGTTACTAGTATTAATCCTGTTTGTTCAAACCTGCTCTTGTTTGTCCTCCTCTCAGTAGCTATTAGTAAGATACAAAGATGTGTACCAGCCCTTCCCTGCGCCTTCCGAGCAGCTTTCTCTGCATTGATTTACTCTTACAAATGCACTCTGTCAATATTAAAATGCATGGTTGTATAGATCAATAGCTTTTCCATAGTATCTACAAAATTAATATGAAAAATAAAGCATTACTCTAAAGCAACTTCAGAACAACAATAAAACAAAACTCCAAAGCAAGTTGGGGATCAGACTACTCTATCAGTGTCTGACTCTATCCTGGTATTACTCTCTCATGGAAATAGGCCTCATCGAGGCATATTGCTCATCCATCTTCCTCTCGCTCCCCCCTGTGAGCTCTGCTGGAAAATCCAGTGGAGGCTGTGAGCCGAACACACTCTGATAGATGATCCAGCCCATCGGATGAGGAAGGGAAAAAGAACCCCAAGCTGAGCTGTGCATAATGGCCACATTCCCCCCCCCTTTTTTTCCCTTTACTAGTGGAAAACATTCTCACAAAACCATTTGTTATATCTTTTATAACTGAAAGCTGCAGATGAAGGATGCAGATGAAACACTTTTTATATTTGTGGCTTTTATTTACTGTTATAGGAAAGTTTTTTTTTTAATTCATTTTGTTTGCCCTGGGGCCTAACCGATCTCCAGCTGGGTCGCACACTTTTATTTTACTTAATTTTTTGCGGACTAATTTGCCCATGTACTCTACATACTGTAGGTGGTATGATTAATTGCTGGTTAAGTGTCTCAAGGTTTTTTAATTCACACGAGGGCGGTGTGAATCACAATGGAAAGAGCTGAATCTTAGACAACTGCAGAGGTGTTCGAACATGAGGCAAATGTTGATAAAGGAAAGCAGGATAAAGAAAGGGAGTTGTGTAACAGTTTTTGGAAGATTGGGGCTTAGTGTCAGACATATGGGTCATATTAGATTTGTCCTGAACAACACACATTTCTCAAAAGGGAGCTATCTTGTCTAATGCAATCCGAAGAAGGAGAAAGGGAAAGTAAAAAGACCATGTTTAAAGGCATAGGAGGTGTTAAATGGCAGCTGGATAAATTTGCTGCTGGTTACTATGACGAGGTCAAGCTCAGACAGCAGACCTGTTTTCCCCAGCTGACTCCTCTGCTGCATTTCCCACGGCAGATATTTTGAAATTTCATACTCATGAGTCACTTTTTTGTCTGCCATATAGTTGGTAACTGTATTTCTAGGAGAGGTAAAAAGATTTAGGCGAGATGTTTTAACTTGGATTGACAGGAAAAGTCTTGTCAGGGGAAGCGAATGAAGATTTGCTTTGGGTTCTCCTTAACAACAGTTTCCAAGGTGCTCCTGAGCAAGAAACTTATAAGTTTCCAGTGTCGGCAGTGGAGCCGCTCAGTGAGTGTGGTAGATGGCTGCAGTTTAACTTGCCAGAGTGTCCGGTCAGTGCTGAAATAGTCTTAAAAAAATGTTTGTTCAGTCTAACTTTCTTTATCATATAATTTATTAACAGAGAACAGGGTGTGTAGTGCAACATTTTAACTACTTTAATGAACACAATAAAACATCTCTTAACCTCCTAAGACCCGAACTCTTGCATGGCGTGCATTTTTAATTTCTCTTTGCTATTTAGGCTGATTGGGACCTGATGAGTGTAACAACAAAGAATTATGTTTTTACATGATGTAGTTTCTGAGAAAAATGATGTCCACATATGAGGACATTCGTCTTCAATTTA